AGTTTTCAATTTCGTGTTCAGTTTTGTTCTTTTAATAAGTTATAACTAAATACTAATATATTATATCAACTCTTTTTTTCAGCTAAAATACGATATCGTACATTACGCAATAAAATATAATAAGTAATAACTAATAAGTGATGTGTATTTAAATGCAAAGCCACACTGGTAAACATAATACTGGATGCGCATGTACCTACTACCTACCTATATTGTATATAACTAATAGTTTACCAAAACGCGTTTTGTAAATATTAAAAACACCTCATTGTCGTTCACGACCTTTCTTAAGTCGTCTTATCGATACTGATGTGCACCTTTTAATCTTTTGTATCCTCATGGCTCATACAATTCGAGCGTTGACGACCGTGTTCGGTATGACTAGCGCCGTCGCATCGTTTTGCAATATCAAAAATTAAAAAAATAACGAACATCGAAGAAAACAATAATATTAGAATATTAAACAACAATACAATTATGATATTAAAAATAATAATGGTGCTTGCGTGTGGTACGGTTGTTTATAACATACCACGGTCGTAGCGGTATAAAGTTGCTTGTGAGCGCAAATCTCACGCGGGATTTGCGCCGTTATTGTTTTATGTACGCACTTATTAATATGATGTTATTAATTATTATATTAAGTGTATTGTAACAACAATATGTGTATCATTATTTATTTTAATGTTGAGCAGGATTTCGACAGCGTTTTTTGTTCAGCGGTACGCTGCCTGGTGAGCTTACAGTGTTAGTGTCAGCTATATAATACATAAAAACTCGTGATTGTATTTCTCATCGCTTCATTACATTATAAATACTTACTCGGTATATCGTGTCAAAAAAGATAGAAATAATACAGCTGCCACGCCTTTGGTGTTTGTTCAAAAAAAGTTGGATGGACGACGGTAGCAGTGTGGTTACACAGAGTTAACTTGAGAAGGGCGAGGGGATAAACGAAGAAATTAATATTATTAGAAAAATAAAACAAAAATATTATATTATTTTTTCACACGCGTGTGAGAGCTGTGGTATAATAGTGGTAACAATAATATTAAGTACCTGTGTCGTAATATATCATTAATATACGGTCTATGTGATAGATAAAGAACGTACAACTGATTTGAAATATGGTTCAATTATTTTATAAAATAAATTATTATTATGACTATTCATTATCTATTCAATTTGTTTATTCATTGTGTGGCAATATTACATAATTTTGTTCGCGTGCCAGTTTAATATATTTAGTCCATAATGTTGGTTGTGTATGTCTCTCGGTCGTGCAGCGGCAGTGTCGAGCTCAGCCGCTGCACAGCCATCGTACACACATGGTGCCCCGTGGAAACCAACTCGTTACAAGGGCGCATAATATTAAATTATTACTATTTTTATTATTAACGTCTAAAATGTTTAACTGCGGTTGCTTTCACTCCATTATCGATTCGTATAATACAGATAATGTCAGTGTGAAGTAGGTACTCCTAATTTCGAGTTAAACTCTGTTCATTTTTGTTTGAAATTGTTTACAAGTATAATAAACAGTACTTCCCATTATAAGTGTATGATTTGGTAAACATAGCTGCGAGTACTTAATCATCGTACTTATCTCTTAAAAAAACATAACTTACCCAATTTGTATTATGTATACCAGCCTCTTGCACATTATAAACTGTAAAATACTTACATTTAATCATAAAATTATAATTTGTAGAAATCGATGATTAAATTTGAAATATTCCAAATGCTTAAGAGAAAAGATAGTTTGGGCGTACACCAATCAAATATCATAAATTATAATAATCGCTATCTAATATTCTTAAAATCGTTTATGAAAAAAGTTAATGAATTACACTTGCTTCTTCGCGTAGTGTTGAGTAATACATTTTTTATTTGTAGTAATTAGGTATTAGTATTATTAGATATAGCGTCGTGAAGTAAACGGATTGAAATAAACCGCCGTTCGTTATTTTACAAGGAAACTTATTGCCAAACAGATCGGTGCAAAATAATCATCGGCCGTGCGTGACCGTGGTGCAAGTATATAATGTGCATATTATACAAATTATTCCATTAAAGTGTAAATTATTTGGTAACAATCAAAACGAGTTTGATCCAGAATGACGATAATGTTATGACATGAATACAGTTTCGTGTCTTTTCATTAAATTATTTCTATAAATATTTATATCATGAACGACAAATTAATGTTTTTATTTTAAATTTAAAATATATAGGTACCTAATGTATAATATAACTTACCGTAGTACGGCCACAGTACTATATATGTATAATTGCCAGCTGTCAATAATATTACATGGAATATATTAATTTCGAACGTATTTATCAATTAATACAGAAAGTGAAAAAGTGTAATCGTTCAATAAATTTTTTTCATGATTAACTTTGGGTTACAATTAAAGTTGCAGCAATTATCGTCCTTACGGGTTACATACTCACCCAATACAATTTACGAGTAGGTAGTTATAGACTATAGTATATATGACGTAAACCCTTAATCTTGCATGTTTCTGGTCTAGGTTTTATGTAACAGACGAATAAATAATATAATATTTAAAAATACGTATATAAAATTACGGCCCAGTAACGTATAACTGGCATAGAACACCAAAAGGTCATATATTTAATGTACCGCGTTCTCCAAATCACATAGGATATCAAATAGGTACATGAAAATATTATCATCTACTGTTGGAGTACCATATTATTATTATTATTATTATTATTGATTGGAGGCATGACAACCTTAACCGCATTGATTGAAGGCGTTAACTGATGATGATGCTGCTGCTAGGCCAGTACCACAGAGCGCATATTATTATATAATACAATTACTACAGCTGAGTAAATTGTAGTATGTATAGTATACATTGTATACACACACATACAAAAGTTCGTTTTGTCCAGCTGCGACAAACCAGTATGCTCGGGTCGCGGCCGTCCTCATATTATTATACTGTTGTAAATGGCTGAAATCTATCCCGTTTCAATTATTATTAATCCAAGTAGCTCACGTTCGATCAACTGTGTATTGTATGTACACGTATAAAATAAAAATCCGTCGTCGCGTGTATATGTGCAGTGTAAAACATTAATTCATTACTCTTTATAAGCGTTTAATACACGAAAAAGAATTTTGGCTGGTAAATGATTTATTCTTTTAAACATGCGATGACATATCTATAATGTGAAGGCACACTGCGCGTATACTTTTTATCTACAAACGAGACTGTACTGCACACACAGAGATTACTCAAGAGTAATATTAAACACGTATTACACCCATTATATCGAGAGACGTCTATTTATATACTAATAAACTTTACAACAGATTATAATGTATAATATAATATATTATATACGCGTATATTGTACCTATTTAATTACGTCTCGCATGGACCTCAACGATTAAGCACGCAAAACATGTAAATGTATTTCTCCAATTCGAGTATACAAGTTTATCTATAATAGTAATATTGCAATACGAGCGTTTATAACTATTGGGGAGGTCAGATATAATAGTAAGGCTAATCGACAGACTTTTCCTGTATAAATATACAATATCTATACATATTTATAAATACTATTGTGTGTATACCTATAGTTTTACATATTTACATGTGTAGTGATAATAGGCGATAGAAAAAAATTCAAAAGGGTTTTCTTGAAGTCCATTTAAATGTTAAGAAAATAATTAAAATAATGTCCGTAGACTTATGATCTCGTCGATATATTAACATTTTATTAACAATTTGTAGTGTTTGTAACCACGTCGGTTCTACGTGAAATTTATGGAACGTAGTCAGTAGGCCATGACTTGTGAAAAGTTCTTCGAAAATTTCAACCCCTTCCCCCAGTACATCTTTGCAGAACGTGCAATATCCCTGCAGAATACGTCACTGAAAACGATTTCAGCAGTAGTTTAGTTCATCTGAAATACCATTGCATGAATGTAACATCGATGCAACACCGGTATTTAGTATGCAAGTCTGTCGATTTCCCTAGCCGCTCGATACACGTGACGCGAGTTTCCTCCTTAGTTGCATCAACAAACCATATATATATATATATATATATGTGTGTGTGTGTGTGTGTGTGTATACTTGTGTACGCATATATTGAAGAGAATAACGTAATCATCACCGTATAGTCTCCTTTACAATAATTAAAATTTCGCGATTCAAACTATAGGTATGTTCAACGTATTACTTAAAAGAGACGACGTGGTTTCACAACGAGGCCACGACCGACCCAGGTTCTTGTGTGCAGTGTGTGAAGCTGACCGCATCGCGCGCTCCATTTTACACAATTCGAAACAACAACAAATTGCACCTGTTACGTATAAAATATATATTATAATATAATATAATATAATATGTTTTATACACTCTGCAGGTTTAGATATCGTCTCCGTCACGTTGTGTGTCGGCATACGTAAAAATAAGGTCAAGCGTGTAGTTTTTTCAGTACCTACGTTTACTCCACACAAAAAGTTTTTATTATTTTCGTATACGTTCAGTGTTGTACATATCTGCACTTGAATTGCCATTATTATTATTATTATTATATCTTCGAGAAGGTCGTGACGTTATATAGTATGACGTGTTTGGAGTATTTGAGTCGTACCTACGACCAATGCTAAAAAAAAAAAATAATAACATATAATAATTTGTCATTTCAAGTACTAGATTACAATATTTTTCCCTTCGATTTGGCAGTCAAATTTTGCATAAAATATATATCCAGTCACACAAACTATATATACATGATGGAAACTTATACTAATAACGACGATAATTATAGCTACACTATAGAAAATAACATTGTACTGTTAAAATTTTGTTTTCACGCCCAAATTGTACGCCAAATGACATGTTACATGATTTCTCATGTTGATTGTATCTTATATGTATATTATATATGATCATAAATTTCTATGATTTTTACCGGTAAACTAATGTATATGTGTATTGTATTTTCAGAGGGACGAGTGGAGGTGAGCAGAGAAAACAAATATCTTAGTACTATGACTTCTGGAAAAGTATTCGGAGAGTTGGCTATTTTATACAACTGCAAACGTACTGCCACTATTAAAGGTATAGTATACATTATATACGTATTTTATAATTTTTGCACTTAAAACAATTATAAAACTGCACGAACGACCTATATGTATTAAACTACAAGAATTTGTCATTGGTAACGACGATTAGAATTTTTTCTTTTTAATTATAAAGAGATTAGCTGTTATAATAAGAAAACAACCTATCATTTTAAATCTTTAATTAAGACAATTTCACGGTTGTCGATTAAAATCCCCAATTCCTTGCTCAAGTTAATTGTGTATTTCATTCAATTCGACTACTCTTCTAATTTAACTGATTCTCAAGTAGGTTCGGGGCAAACCCCACCACTTATATAATAGAATCAAACCATTCAACTACACTTATATTTGTATAGCTATTTACATACAGGGTGTTCTATATACTTTTAGACATTCTTTTCGTTCTTTTCGGTCACTAATGAATATTTCTGAATTCTTTTTTTAATTAATTTAAACCACACTACGTATGTTAGAGTGTATTTTTCAAAGTATCCCTTTTTTTTATTTAATATGTGGAGGACGAATATATCAACTTTCGATTTTTAAGTAGCAACCTACTATTATTATTTTAATTTACTATATAAATAGAAATAAATAATATAATTAAAAACGTTTGTAAATTTACCTACTACCTTACCTACCTATCTATAAAATACTTTAAAGACATGCCGATATTAAGCAAAATAATAGTTGTATTAAAATAGCATACTTAAGATGTATTCTAAAAACATTTTAACTTAACTATAATAATTGTATTATCAGTAATGTTTGCGTGATAAGTAGCAGTACTATATTTTTACTTTCTTAAAAAAAATTGGCCAATTATACTACATATTAATAGCCTTAGCTATTAGAAATTAGTCATACTTATTATTCTATACCATAATATTTTCTTTTTTGCATTTTTACTTTATTTATATTAATAAATAAAAATTATTATAACTTGTTACAATTAATTAGTTTAAAACTTAATTTATATAATTTTATCGCAACACTATTAAGTATACTATTTTTAGTGAGTAAATGCATAATTCGTGATTTTTTTTTTACATATAAATCTATAAGTTCTAGTAATAATAAATTGCCTGTGTATAATATTGATTTATCAATAAAAAATATAGGGTTTTAATAGTTAAATTTGTTATTTTCACAAATTAGCATTGGTATTTTTAAAAATATTTTTTATTATTCTACTTTGATAAAAAATATTTTACCTAATGCAATTTATTCACGTCAGCCTATGATCACATTATAATGTATCATCGAAGCAATACATTGCTAAATTATTTCAATTGGCATAATTAAACGCCTGACTAATTGTTTTCGTTATGTTTGTTTTGATCACTGGTCATGCCATTCAATAATATATTAGATGAATGACGAACACGAGTCCAGTACGGACTTCGCTTTTGCAGTAATGTGGACTCGTGTTTTTCATCAGTTGTACAGACCTCTGGTCGCTGTGACGTTTTGTGTTTGTGCATTTTTTTATTGGTTGTTAATAACTGCAGACAACGAAACGGCATATTTTGTCTTCTTCCTCACGTTGTGTAAAACAAAATCTGTTTCTATCAATAATTTTATTTTTCTTCGACATCAATGTTATAACAAATACATAACCTTTAAAATTACAAGAGTTCTATTTATATGTAAATGTTGTATATTATCGTACGTAATTAATTCGTCAATTTTTCTTTCCCCAGCTGCTACGGACTGTAAGCTATGGGCGATCGAACGACAATGCTTCCAGACAATTATGATGAGGACTGGACTCATAAGACAAACAGAATATACCGATTTCCTCAAGAGGTAAGATTTTAGATTTTCCCTGTTTCCAACTAATAATAATCGATTGCATTTATCTTTATGTTAAATTTTCAGTGTTCCAATATTCAAAGACTTGCCCGAAGAAACGCTTATAAAGATTTCGGATGTTTTGGAAGAGGTAAAAAATATATCATATTATACTATAAGTACACGTTTTATTATTTTCATTTTACATTTTTTAGACATTCTACAATGCCGGAGATTACATAATCAGACAAGGTGCCCGGGGAGATACGTTCTTCATAATCAACAAAGGAAAGGTATATAATAATATAGACATATAGTTGACTCGTCTCTCTGAAAACCATATAAGATATGATAATAAAATACAATATATACATACAGTGGCACAAATAGCTCCATTAAGACTGTGGTTCGTTCCTAATCCAATAACTACCAATCTACGGGGATAGATCGGAAAAATTGTTCAGCCCTGACAAATCGATAAGACCAATTATGTAATATAACCATAAACCTACAAAGAAGTCAATGAATAAAATATAATATGTATAAATATCAAAAGCGAATTTATAAGGTGATCAATGATTTGCCCCCCTCCCTATTTTCCATTAATTTAAATCCGGTATCTAATGCAAATAAAAAAAACTAAAGGGGTAAATGTTAGAAAAAAAAAATAACCCCTTTTAAAATTTGTCTACTAATTTATACTTTTAAATGAAATATATGTTCATACTTGTAAAATATGATCATAAACTTTGTAAAACTATTTATTTTTTTAATTATTCTAATTGAATAGTTTTTTAATATGTTATACACTTATTTTTAGCTTTTTAATTATTTCTCTTATGTTAATATTGTTTTTAATTATTTTCTCTACTCCTGTGAGCATGAAGTGTTTTAAATATGAGTCTCACATATTTTTTTCAATCTTGTTTTATTACATTTTTAATTTTTCTCAAGCAACTTATAAAAATAAAAATAATCATTTATTAATTTTTTTATTCTGATCTGATAAAACCTTTAAGAAAAATGATCTTACTATTAAAAATGTGTATGCTAATTTCAAAGTATTATACATTACTATTTTATACAGATTTTACTTCGTAAGCAGTGTATAACAACAGGCAGTACAAATACGATAGTGTTGTGATAGGCGTATTACATAAATTCCTATACTATTTACTACAACTACAACATTTATTACAACATTTTAAGTTATAACTACAAACTTCTTATATAGTTCAATTTTTGATTTGTATTCTATTATATTGTCAAATTAATATTACTTTTTTCTTACTTTTAATGTAAGTGTTAATTTCAATATTGCTATTTTCTTCTTGGTTTTTGTTATCTAGTTTAATATATGCTGTCTCAATAAAATAATTTATTCATAGTTTTAGACCAACTGCATTTCTATTTAATAATTTTAATTGTTTTGGTGTATTTCTAATTGTTACATAATATGCTTTTTAAATATTTGTTGCAATTTTTTTTTTTTTACTATACAATATTTTCGTTCATAAAAAACACAGTTAATAATATTGAGTAGGTATTTTAACAAATAGCCTAAATATATGTGGTATTGTGGCTTTAGCTTTAGATTATGAGTTTACTATTATAGAGACAATGCTCAATGACATATTGAAATCAAGACTTTAACACATAAAGCAATCTATGAATGATTCAGTATTCCAAATATTCTATATATTATGATGAGACATATTTTTAAACAACCATCTTGTGTCGCCTATAGTTTTTATCCTTATTGTTTTAGTATATATCTCGATTGTTGGCATTGTATTTTAATAGTGAAAAGTAATCAAACTAATTTCAGATATATAATCGATTAAAGAAAAAATAATAATTTGCATCAACAGACAACAAGTATGAACGCCTTAGTAAAAGTATCGTTCGTTTTTTCGATAAATTATTTTCACCCACCCGTCTCATATATAATTTATTTATACTAAGAAATTTTTAAAACACTTAGTGGTTTAAGTATAGATGTGCCCTATCGCACCTCCTCGACAGACCTTTTGTCGCGGTATTAGTATAATAGTATTAATATATATTATATCGATGAATAAAAACCCGTTCATTTTATCTACCTAAAATAGGTTAAAGTCACCATAAAACAATCGAACAATGCCGAAGACAAATACATCAGGACCCTACAGAAGGGTGACTTTTTCGGCGAAAAAGCATTACAAGGGTACGTACCGTTATGCATATACATACCTAGACACGCCGCCGCTAACCGTTAACCGTGTTCTCTTTTATTGCAATAACGGCGGCGGTAAAAATGTCCTAGTGTATTATGTTTTAACGTTTTAGTCAACTTGTTGACAACGACAATGATGATATTTATCGAACAATATTTTTTGCAGCGATGACTTGCGTACTGCGAACATAATCGCGTGCGACCCCGATGGCGTGTCGTGTTTGGTCATAGACCGAGAGACGTTCAACCAACTGATTGCCGGACTGGACGAAATACGCACCAGATACAAAGACGATGATGTCTCGGAACGAATGAGGTAATAACGGTTATCATAATTATATTATTATATTTTTTGGCTATCGCTCCGCCACCTCATCATCGTATCTAGATTCTAGGTTATTATTTTTCGGCTTACGAACAATATGATTACAATATATTATTACATGGATATTGGTAATAATTGTTGTATTGTAAAAAGACATTTATACATTATTATATAATATGTATATAGGTAAAAGTCATTTGAAACATTATGTTATTAATTATTATTGTTGAATGACGGTTAAGAAAATGTCTTCCAAATACATTGTACCTACCAATCATTTTTAAATATTTAATACATGCGTTTACCTAATATTCTTCATTTTCACTTACATGCACTTGTCCTAGGCTCTTGGTAAGCTCAATAGTAAAATATGATTACGTGTAGTTGATATTTTCTTCACATTATGTCGTGAAAGTACATCGGGTGCGAATATTACGTACCAACAAAACACGATAGAATATTTTTAAGCATGTTGCATGACATATATTTCTTCGTTATATTCAATATTTTAGAAAATATATCTATACAATTTAATTTTTCAGACATACATAATATTATGTTATACATATTTGTAGATAGTGCTACCGTGTAAATACAATTTTTATTTTTTTTTTATAATCTTATATTGTGAAATGTTAATAGCTCTACAAACAAGGAGTTCCAAAATCTAAAACTTTCCGACCTACAAGTCTTAGCCACTTTGGGCGTGGGCGGCTTTGGTCGTGTAGAACTCGTCCAGGTAAACAACGATACATCCAGATCGTTTGCCCTCAAACAAATGAAAAAGAGTCAAGTGAGTTTTACAATTATATATTTATACACATAGTTTTTTAAGTCACCAATTGACAAACTACAGTATTTATAATATTGATGATATGTACATTAATAGATTGTCGAGACAAGACAACAACAGCATATTATGTCAGAAAAAGAAATCATGGGAGAAGCCAACTGTGAATTCATTGTCAAATTATTCAAGACGTTCAAAGACCAAAAATATTTGTATATGCTCATGGAGTCTTGTCTTGGTGGAGAATTATGGACTATACTGAGGTATTTAGTAAATTGTTTCATATACCTGAATTTAATATCTAGAAATTCAGATTATTATTGACCTGGTATTAAATCAAACTACATTTACTACAGTTACTAAACACTTATTAATAAATTACCTATATTAGTATACAATCATACAAATAATATATGTTCATTGATAGAAATATTGAAATTTGTATGATATACTGTTTTAGGATTGTAAATATTTAACGTTTGCTTAACATATGGTTATCACTTTATTTACTTAATATAACTATAACCAATTACAGAGACAAAGGACATTTTGATGATTCTACCACACGTTTCTATACTGGATGTGTCGTTGAAGCATTTGACTACTTACATTCTCGCAACATAATCTATAGAGATCTGAAACCTGAAAATCTACTTTTGGATATCACTGGTTATGTAAAATTGGTTGATTTTGGATTTGCTAAAAAATTACATGTTAGCATAAATTTCTTTAAACTATACAATATTTTTAAAATCAATATTCAAAATATATTTAAATATATTTTCAGAATGGAAGAAAAACCTGGACATTCTGTGGAACACCAGAATATGTTGCTCCCGAAGTAATTCTAAACAGAGGTCATGATATAAGTGCTGATTACTGGTCCTTAGGAGTCCTTATGTTTGAACTACTTACTGGTAAGCATTTTTATTTATTTCAATAATCAAAAATTATTAGGATAAATGGTGATTATTTTCATTTATTAAAAGGATATTGTGACCTAGTGTCTAACATAAAGACAACATAACGTCTATGCACCAGATTCTTACTACAGTTTATTTATAAAAAAATTAATTGAAAAAAATATACATAATGAATTTAGAGAAAAAAAAATTAAACTACTTGATCAAAAAAGTTTTATTCATATATTTATTTTATAATAAGTTACAAATACTTAAATAATTTAAAATATATATAATTCATTTGAAACATTTGAAAAAAAAATGTTACGCTAGAACACATTTTATATTATCTTCTAATAATATAATAATATGTAAATTCTAAATTTAATATTAACTATAAATAAACTGTAGTTTGAATCCAGTACATAGATTGCTATGCTAAGTGCGTATAAGACAAATATATTCCATGCATTTACATTCTCTTAATGTAAAATTAATTTAAAAATAATAAAAAAATGCATTAAATTTATATTTATAAAAATAATTAAATCAACATTTTATTGTTAACTGTTATTACATTTATTCAATGTAATTGATATTTAATTATTAATTATCAATAATAAAATTTAAAAATTGCATTTTCTTTGTCGCCTATTCTGTATATATATATTTATTTAAATTATTTTTTTTTTATTATAGGTACACCACCATTCACTGGAGCAGATCCAATGAAAACTTATAATATAATTCTAAAAGGCATAGATGCAATAGAATTCCCAAGGAATATAACAAGAAATGCTAGAGTTTTAATCAAGAAATTATGCAGGTATGCCCTGATAGTCATCAGTGACCTTTTTTTTTTAATGTTCTACATAGTATTCTAAGCTAGATACCCTTTACTTTTTCAAATTTATTTTACTATAAGAATAACACATAAAACAAATGTGTAACCTAAGTTATGATAATGAAGAATAAGTTAGGACAACTATAATAATATATTATACAATATATTATATACAAAATAAGCAATTTTTGAATTTTAATTCTTATAATATATAAGTAATATACTTCATGAAATTTTACATAGGAAAAGTTTAAATCAAGCTATAATTGGAGTTTTGTATGACGTAAATAAATTTTTCACTTTTGGAATTAAATAATATAAATAAAGATGAATAAATTAGTTACTAATTAGTAACTTAAATTAATCTTTTCTGAAATCTATGCATATATTTTTACTCTGTACCACAAAAAACTCCTTGCTCACACAATATGAAGCTCTGTCACTAGGTCAAAGTCCCTCAGAATGTAAGTGAATACAGCTTACCAAAGTGCTTTGATGACCATCAATAAGTTAAACAAAGTACTCTAACTGTATGCAATGAGTTTAAACTAAAAGCGCTCATACTGATTTTGTAATTGGAATGCACGAGAATGAATGATTTTTGGTTGCCATCTACTATATAGTTATAATTATATATGGTACAAATATATGCATTTAGAAAACAATAAAAACTTTATCAAGGCTATTACCCTATCAATAAAACATGCGTTCATTTTAATTTATGATTTGAAGTTTAAAATAAATTATTGAAACACAATTTTGCAATTTTCTGTTTCAGAGATAATCCAGCTGAACGACTAACTGAAGTACAAAAACATAAGTAAGACACATATTTTATTTTTATATATATTATGGTAGTGAAATCTTAACTAAATGTTAATTGTGTTCTAGGTGGTTTGATGGTTTCAATTGGGAAGGACTACGTAATCGAACCCTCACTCCTCCTATCTTGCCAAAGGTACGCAGTGCTATAGACACAAGTAATTTTGACAATTATCCACCTGACGCAGACAGCCCACCACCAGATGATAATTCAGGATGGGATGTAAATTTTTAATTTTGTAAAAACAATTATTATTGCTTGTCCGCATCATTGATTTTACTCTGTGGTTTTAAATTACCCATGTTTTACATTCTAGTTATGTCTTACAAATTAATTTAGTCTTGTTAATTATTCAGTGTATTACCATATGGAAACAATAAGTGTTAATTGTTTGATATATATTTCAACTTTTGTTAACCATACCATTTAAATTTTATTTTTATATAAATAAAATATTTGTTATACCCCCCCCCCCTCTAGTAGGTATCAAATAATATCTACGTTTACGAATTTAATATACCATAAGTGCCTTTCAATTTTGTGAACACATATTATTATGGCGAAATATACAACTGTCATTTATTAATTTATTATAGTTAAGATTACGCGAGTTTTATTTTTTTTCCAATTAAGTAAAAGTTAATGTTGGTTATTACTTTTCTTCTTGTATAGTTTTAATATTGATTTATGTGTTTTAGACGTTTTAGTATTTATAAATAATTTTTTCTATGGAAAAGTTGTCCAAATTAAAAACTATACATTAATTAATTATGTTATAACATAGTAAGATCACAATAACTATGAATTATTTTTAAATGATTGTTATTATTGTTGCTCTCTGAATAGTCCTTATCCAGTGAGTCCCTTGATTTTATAAATATATATTCTTATATATTTTTTGATTAATAAAAATTATTTCACACATTGGACTTTAATGATATTTATAAAGTATTTATAACATTATAAAATCAATCAAATCATAGTGCTCATTTATCGTATTTTATATTCAAATTCAAATGATGAATATCATTATATATTATATTTTTACATTTTTTAAATGGTTATAGTTTTGTTTTTACATTAAAATATTAGATCAATGTTTCCCACCTATAGGTCACAATCTATTTTTAATAGCTCACATTTCATGAACTAATAACAATAAAAAAAATATATAATTTAAATTTAAACATAATCTTTATATTTAAAATATTAAGTATTTATTATTCAGTATTGCATTAAACTAAAGTTAAATGTAAAATAAAATAGATTATTAATATTACTACAAAGTATATTATGGCATACTTGATTTTTTTTTTTTAGTAATAAGTTGTTTACCTATCAAAGAGTAATTGATTGGTTGCTGTAACAAAAAGGTTAGGAAATATTATATTAAAAAATGATGTACAATATTTGATATTTATTATCTAAAAGCTGATAACTTATCTTTAAATTTTTTTTTTAAACACTAATCAGTGTAAAAACAAATAATTTAGTATTAATATTAATACACTATAATAGATTAATACTGTAATTTATAATAAATGATAAAAAAGACTTAATTTTCTATTTTTAATTTAATAATAATTTAAAACTGATGAGTATAATAATTATATAATATTGGATTATAGATTTTGACATGTAACATTTTAAACTTAGACAATGCTGTTGACCAGGTAAGCCCAAGTGACTACACGCAAAAAAAAAAAAAAAGAATGTATAAACAATAAAATAATGACTCTATAAGTATGTATTAATTTCTGCTCTACTACTTATCTAGTCATATATGTATATATTTATATCTATCTGTATAATCTTTATTTTATCAAACCAACAAGGTTATATATTAAACAACATACTATTTTTATTTTTTTGTAAAATCTATTTAACTTATTTTTATGATTTTAATTACTTTTAAATTTTAATTCTAATTTTTGATAATAACTTTTTTTGAGTACAATTAATATATTTTATTAGATACTGGTATGATAAAAAAAAAAATTGGTATACATTTCAGAAATTTAAATTACATTTACATATATCTTTGCATTGATTAATTTTATGAGCTAAAACATTTTACCTAAAAATTAAGATTTTGCACTTGTCAAAAAATGATACTTTATACCAAGCAACAATATCTTAGACATAAATTATTTGTTTTTCCTTCATTTTTATAATAATATAAAAATGTAATTAAAAAGTAAGTACATAATATCAATTAAAATCTATAATTGGAGGGCATTTTAAGAGCTTTAAATTATTTTAGATAGGAAACCTGTACAACAGGTATGAAGTCAAAAGCAACAAAGCAGACCAGCATTTAGTGACCCAACCCAAGAGTGTTAGTGGTTGTAGCCAGAGATATTTTTTACGGATCCTTTGTAATATGTAATTTAAGATTAGGATTTTTTTTTTAGATAAATCCATTGCCACTTTACCCTTCTCTTCTTATCACTACCATGCAAGCCATTTCTAGCTTAAACACTTATAAAATTGTAAAATCGAATTTTATTTTTTGAGTTTTTGACAATATATACATTGTCTATTTTATTATACAAGAATGTTTTGCGTTTATTTGAAAATTTCAATTGAAGTTGCATTCGAAGGTTAGAAAATAAAATTATTTTCATCATATATTCACTTGCTCTACTTGAACGGATTGTGTAATAGAAAAATAAATAAATAATTTCAACATTACCTACTATAAATTTATTATTTATTTATATTATATTTCGATATTTAAATTATCGTTTTATTTATAGGTAAGTACATTTATAGATTTGCCATCATAAAGAATTTAATTCATAGATGAAAACGATTTGGAGGAGACTAAGAAAACCTATGCCAATTATCAATAATTATGACATTTTTCTCATAAACAGACTAGTAATTAATATAAATAGGTACTTGTAATTTAATTATAGGTATCTAATGTCTAATGCATTGACATTTAATCATATTATGTTAGCGATACCTATTGAGTACCTATTTTCTATAAACATTTCTTAAAGTGTAATGACTAATGATATATAGGTATTTTATGATATAATTAATATAAATATAATATAGTAGATTGCGTAATGCACATCAAGTGCAGGAGCTTATTAATAATATTAATTGTAATAATCAGAATAATCTAATGTTATTACTGTTATTAGGTACTTCAAAAAGTTTCTTTATTTTGATTGTATAAAAACGTGATCGATTTCACGTAGACTCGAACCGCCCCACCACTTTCGTTTCACTTAGTGATTGATGAAGGAACCTACCTATGTGTCGGTATATATCTGTACCTTGGTACCTACCTACTTGATGTATCATAAACCTACAATGGATGACTATAATTTCAAAAGTTCAAACATAATGTTAACGTGATAGAAATGTACAATTTAAACAACAGTCAACAAAATATAACAATGCAAATAAATAGTAGTATAGTCCATAGGAATAATTTAAAAAAATATCAATACTTCTACATATAGATAGATTTACAAATTGAATTAATTATCTACTTTTGAAGGATAAATACAATACTTTAGAAGTTTATAATTACTTGAATGAAATAAACAGGAAAAACGTTTGCTGAGTAATGAGTAGATAGATATATATTGTGGAAAAAGTTAAATAATTGTAGGTATCTTAAAAGTGTGAACTATTTAATAATAATTAGATAGGTACTTATTCCAAAACTAATATAATATGTTATATATTTGATTTGAATACATGGGGATAATATTTACGATATAGTATACAATTTAATAATATTAACATTTAACATTCATGGGCACCCGCGGGAAATTTATCAATTATCAAGAAGGTTCCGAAGCATAGATAATCAAATACCAAAAAGTGCATCATAAAAAAAAATATATGCTTTTTGAAAGTTATAAAATAATAAATTTATACTTAAGTTAAAATATTAATGAAATGTTTATTTAATAAATAATAAAAATATAAATTATATTTGAAATTTTAATGTCTTGCATTTAGAGCAAATGCTCCGCTTTGCCTCCTTCCTCCGGAGGCGTTCATGTTAACAATTAAACCCAAATTTTATTGTATATACGTCATACGAGTACACATATTACGTTCAATAGATCCACTTCACAATATTATAACCTTTATAAATTTAAAAATGTACGCAGTCATATTATGTTAGTCTAATTTAATAGTTTGAATTTGAAATACTTCAATAGTCGATAATCCATATTATAACTTGGTTTTACAATTGATTACTATTTGTTATTTATCTACTATATATTAACATAAATTTGCTTATGGGCTAAATGTTACTTTTTTTCTGACCGATTTTCGTATCTAATACCTATAATACCTATTATTATATGTTTTCATTATCATTACAATTACACGATTTAACTGAAATAAAAATTGATGATCTTCATATCTCCAAATAAAATAATTTACAAGCCATTGTTTACCTTCCCAAATACATATTTATGATTTTTATAGATTTTCTTTGTAGAGGAAAAATATCAAATAACGTGTTAAATAATACAGCGGAACCTCAATAACTCGAATTTTTTTTTCGCCCCCAACCGATTCGAGTTATCGAGGTTCCACTGTATATGTTGACGTGTTATCGTTAGTGTAATGGACAATAGACAATAGTGTATAGTATAGGTATATCGTATATAGTTATAATAAAAAATGTTGCTCAAATGGTTAAATATAATTTAGGTAACGTATCATTTTTAGTACATTGTCACACATTGTTTGCCGATAAATGTTGTTCAATTTTTACGGATGTTATCGGTTTGCGCACAATTTAACTCTTACATCCGAGTACTACATCACCTTGTTTTTACGTTCTTTTCTATAATATTTCAATAAGAGTTATGGGTTATGACACTTCACGAGCATGTAAAACTAAAAAAAAATATAACTTGTCTTGAAATTTTACTTTTATTTTTATTATTAATTAGGTGAGTTGTTGTCTTAGCAAAACATACCCTTTGGAAAAAATTACTATTCTGCCTATTCTAAACAGAAATTACTCTCTATATTATAATATCGTCTTTCCAAAAATTACTTCATTATTGCGGTCTTCTATTAATATCAATTCGCCAAGTTTCAAGGAGTTATCTGAACAACGCTTTAGCCCAAGTATGTTACGCTTTACACCAAACTCTGCATACGATTGTTAAACGCAACAACGCGCCGAAAGTTTTGTTTTATTTTTTTTTTTTTGAGGCAATTGTTGTGGCTACGGAGTGGGTGTTTGAATTGTTTGCAAAATATTAAATCAAACAATGCTGCATATTAGCTCTAATGCCTCTAATTAATTATCATTTAATTACATGAATATTCTGCATAATTTGGATAGGCGAGGTCCTTAATCTTTTGTTAAGCCTCAAGTTTAAAGATTCGTTCAACACGCCATCGGTTTAAATACGTATCGAATTGGACTATATATTATAAGTTGGCCACGCATCCTTAACCCAGATGGATCGAAATCAAAATGTACGACAATAGAATATTGATAACCTCGACTCGCCTTGGGGCTTGGATTCAATCGAGTGCTGTAAACAGTAAACACTGAACACTAAACAGTGTAAACTGTTCTGACTTCTGACTGTTCCGAAAATAGAGTATTGCCGAATACAATTGTATTGTACTTGACCGCGGCAGATTGTTGACAATCGACGCCGACAACAACCACAACAATAAATAATATAAAATATTGGCAGTGTGCACGTCGCGCCGGTTGACGAAACAACAAAATG